CAACAATTGTCAAGATCGAAAAAATTTTGAAAGAATTTTCGCCTGATTTCCTTCTCAATCCATATTTACTGGGCGTAAAAATGAGAAAAAAAATGAAAGAAAAACAGAAATTAAAATTAAACTAAATTAATAGAAAGATTTGTAAGATAACAGAATACAGATTTGGAAAAAACGCAAATGAGTAACGAGCGATATATCGTAATATGGTGCCAACGTTACAATCATAAAATAGCTCCATATTTTTTTCTACACAATTTTATACTTTTCAGCAAAAAACCTTCATATCATTTCTCGTATTTGTTTTTTTTTGTCTGCCAAAGCCAGGTAACACAAGAAACCGGAGATCATAGATCAGGATGGACAAAAAAAGAAACACACTACTCATTTAAGGATAAATTTTAGGAAACGTGGTGTCGCCAACCTGGGATTATAATCGTGAAGATTTCGATCCTGTGCGCAATTTCCCAAGCGTAGCGGTTGTCCACAAAATGCACAACGGAAGCATTTTTTATGGATGAACATTCCTTCCACTTGCATTCGCTCGGCTAAATACACCACTTCGGAGCATAATTGGCAGTTGATTTGGCGACGAGCATTCACACTGTCGTAGCATGTTGATTCCAGAACAGGCATTGAAAATGGCCGTGGTGAAGAATAACGAACAGCTGCATTCTGCAAAAAAAAAAAAAAAATATTTGGCTTAAAAATAAAAAATTCTCGAGTTTCATACGTAACTGAGTAATATTTCTAATGGGTAGAAGTCAAAATTTCCTTACTATATTTAAAGGATAAAAGACAGTTTGCACCGTAAAATATCATCTTACACACAACGCCTGAGTACAATCCTTCTGGTCTATTATTTCGCTGAATAAAATGATAATTCCTGGGAAAAAAGTGCTTGATGAGAAGCTGAATTGTGATATCAGGCGACGAAATTTCTCATGTAATTATTTGTCTTAATTAAGCACGTAAGTTTTTAGACAAATTTTTTTTAGACAAGCATTATAGCACGTAAGTTTTTAGAGAAATTTTTTTTTTGAAATATACCCTGAGAATAACATTCTGATCTTCGGTTTGTGACA